CAAAGCCTTCCCCGGCATTGATATCTCTTGATTCCTGGCTCTCTGGTCTACTTTTGTATACACCCTTCAGTTTTGAATTGGTTTTCCTGTAAATACCATTTTGTACAACGTTACATTTGTGGGAGGGTGGGGATCAGATTGGATATAGTCTAATTCCTGAGTTCTGCCAGTCCGGCAGGGGACCAGACATATAAACCGTGTTTTTTGGAAAAAAAAAAAAAAAAAGACTTAATAAATATTCTCCTTAAATTGTATTTAAGATTGGTGTCTACTTTGTACCCTAGAACAGTGTGTTTAAAAACTATCTGGAGAACTGGTTAAAAATCCAGCTTCTTGAGCCATGTCCTCAGAGTCCCTAATTTTATGGGCATGAGTAGGTGATTCCAATTTTGATGTCAGTGGTCTAGCCACTGTGGAATGAAAAATACCACCCTTAGGGGAAGCTGCAAGCATTGATTTAAAAAGATCTGAATGGAACCAAGATGTTATTTCTGCTATCCTCAACAGGCCTAGGCAATCGGCCTATCCCTAAACTTTCCCTTCTCCCCCAAACATTGGCAGCCCTTAAACAACTCTCTTGGCCTTTCAGCTGGCATCATCTGCCCAAACTAATTTACATCACCGTATAAGTGAGGCTTTAATTCGTTCATGGCTCTTTAGAAAAAGCATGTTCTAAGGTAAGTATTCTCACTAAACTCACTGCCAATTCAGAATGTCCCTATAGGCCTGTGTGGGGTTTCCAGACTCTAACTCTTTACTAGAGTAAAAAGTCTTATCTTTCTCCCTAAGGTAAGTATTAGAAGATTTCTATTTCAGTTTGTTTTTGGCTGGAAGCATTAACTTGGCATTTCCTTCAATTGCTGGAGGAACACTGCCTCATCTGCCCATTGAGCTCCTATCACTCCTTTAAGACTCCTCTTGTGTCTTCATGAAGTCTGCTTTAGTGAACTCTATCCTCAGGGAATATCCTTTATGTCACCACCATCCCTTGCTCGTTTCAATTAGAGAACTTCTCATTTTGGATTGGGAATGCCTAATTTATTTGTGTATCCCCAGCTCTACGTGCAGAGCCTGGCAATTAGCAGGCACTCAATAGCTGGAAAGAACGTCAGAGTCAGGAGTTTTGTTTTACTTGAAATTAAAACATGATTTTTAAGTATACATACGAATTCCCAGGTGGAGGGGGAAAAGGGAAATGGCTTAAGGCACCATGGAGGGCTGAGGTTCCCCCTCGCCGGGTACCAACAGAACTGCGATCAGGGTCTCTTATGTATACTTAAGAACCACCTGGGGAATCTTATTAACATGTAGATTCCAATTCAGCATAACTAGGATGGCGATGCAATTTCCCAGCAGGGGTTAGAACTAGAATGAGCCTACTTCCAACCCTGGTTTTCAGTCAAATTTGGCAAAAACAAAACACGGAAATGACAAAGAGTTTAATGTCAGTTCCTACAGAACAAAAGTCATTTCCAACAGCAGAGATTCCTCCCGAAGGGATTACCTGTTCTGTTTTCACACACTGCATTTGGGCCTCTTCTGACACCCTAATTTCCCACCCACTCCTTCATTCTCTGGTCGGCTGAAGGCAGACCAGGCAGGTAGCTCAGCTCAACAACTGATTGGTCGGTGATGATTTCATTGTTAGGGAACATCCGGGCTTTTCTCTCTCTGCAACACCTCCCCCAAAGCTTGGCATTCTGTTTCCCACTCCCGCGTAAGCCGCCCTCGTTGGTTAAAGCAAAACAACCGCCTTTCTCCGGACGGTTTCAGGTCGTCGCCTGCTATCCCTCGCAAGTTCGACGCCGGGGAGAGGTGTTTCCATCTTTCAATGACGGCCCACGATGACTTTGTTAGCCAATCAATTGTCAGCCCCCTGCAATTTGGGTGGGATTATTCCTCCGCACTTCTCACTGGACAACCCGTTGGCGCCTTTCTAGCTCTTGCTTTACTCAAGGTGTATAGGTGAGAAAAAAAAATCAGGGGCATGATTTTCGCAAGAACAAGCTGGATCCTTACAGTCTCCCTGGGTTTGACCGTTTTCGTAGACTGACCAATCGCATTTCGGATACTTCCCCGCCTTTTGCGCGCTCTTTTAAAAAACGCCGGTGTGACGGACTTGGAAATTAGCTCATTGACAGACACTCAAAGCAAGCCAATGACTGAGGGTTCGGGGTCACTGTTTGGCCCTATAGGAAATGGGAATAAACAGGGCTCGGCCTTAGTGAGGCGGAGCGCAGGTGGGCGTTACTTGATTGACAGAGGTGTCCACTTATGGCTCGTGGGGTGGGATGGTCCCAGACGTCCGGGAGATCGTCTGTAGCAGAGGCGGTGCTGAATGAAGTAAATGGTAATAAAAGGTTGGATCTCCCTCAGTGGGCGGTGTTTGATGGATAGGTGACCTTACCAATTGAAGGTGACCATTTGTGCCCAATAGGAGACTAGGAACTCAGAGGCGGGGCAGTGTGGGCGGGGAAAATGAAGTGCCGAAGTAGCGAAGGCTGCCCACTGGGCGGGAGAGCGATGATTGACAGAGCTCTCCGCAAACCGAGTGCAGCGAGAGGACACGCGGCCTCCCAATGGGTGGGAGTCGGGGGCGGGGCTCTCTGAGGGGCGGGGAAGAACAGGGGCACGGGGAGGGGGTTGCAGAAGGAGCGGAGCGGCTGCTGCTCAATGGCGGAAAAGCCGCCGGTGTTCTGACCCACTCGTTCCCCCAAGCAGTTGCGGGGGAGTTTCCTGCCGGCGCGGCTGGAGTCTGTGTTTCTCAGGGTTAGGTGGCTGGAAAATGCTCCAGAGAGACGAGGCGGCGGCGGAGGAGGTGGCGGCGGCATCG